AACCAAGTCCTGAAATGTAATATCATAGCACTATCTGAAAGAGAGGCCATAGAATGTGTACCTTGTGATCTTCAGCTAGTTTCCTGGCAAGAGGACTAGCAAATGTGCGGTCCGATGAAGGTGTACTTTGTTTTAAAACTTTTGGTTCTGATGGGGCAGGTTCCGTGGCAACCTTTTCTTTGGGAGGTGGTGGTGGCGAAGGGTCTTTTGGTGCGGGTGCAGCATCTGATGTTGAATGCTGGTAATCTTCAAACTTCGCGACATCCTCTTCTTCTTCAACAGTTACAGCAATTACCTGTGTGAATACGATCGGATATTTTAATAAAGTGAAATTTGTGTGGTTGTGATTTGTGTAGAGGAAAGAGACATGATAATGACCACTCATCTTTTTCCTTTAAAAGGAAGAAGACAATTTTGGGACAATCCAAATAAGAAAGTAGGAAGATAGTTATAGGATGCAAGGAGTGTAAAATAAAACATAGAGGAAAAAAATTCAAGCGACACTCCAAAAGATGACAGTAATACCTCACCAACTTGAATCCCATTAGCTCCATCCCCACGCAGGATCTTGGCAAGATATCCCTCTTCCATACATTCCATCTCCACAGTTGCTTTATCCTATGTATCAAATAGGACAAATAGATACCATATTTACACACCCAAATATGAAGAAGGTTCACCATTATCAGTGCAATCATATATCATGTAAGATGGATCCTACTGTTTCAACTTCACAGAGTACTTCTCCAGGAGATATTTTGTCACCCTCTTTCTTCAACCACCGAGCGATATTTCCCTGTAGAACAAATCCAACAATTTATGAGGCAATCCCTGAAGGGAGATTTACTACTATTGTGCTTTGAGGAAAATGCATGCCTCTGTCATTGTTGGTGAAAGAGACGGCATCCCTATTTCTTGGTGTGGAGGAAGATCTGAATACAAAGAGAAAGTTGCCATCATGCACAATTAGATGAAAATCTCAGCAAAATGAAAAAAACGAAACATGATGCAATAGCTCTGTTTCGATCACAGAAGTATATCAATACGATACATGCTGTACTGCCTGTACATCCACAAACAGATGTATTTATTTTAAGTGCTCAAGTTTCCTATCATGCCTCCCATTTACTAGCATTTCTCAGCAGTTTAATCCTTGGTTGATTTTGATTTTGCACAAATATTGTGAGTTTTTGTGAGTTAGATACATCGATTGGAGGTTAAAGTAGCTTCAAGTTGCATTATTTTTACACAGATCTACACTACTTCCTAGCTGGTTATATATTATTTCCTAGCTGTTTATATATTATTCTTGGTCATTGTCTTATCTTCAAAATTCACTTTTTTGCAAAAAAACAATCCTAATTATACTAATTAAGATTATGAAGAAAGCCCCTGTGGAGAAAAAATTGCATTCACTCTTTAGGACCTATTGACTGTGGATACTAGCAAGCTTATGAGTTTAATACATTAACTACAACAATGTTACAGATAAATAAATAACCAAGAAATGAACTGTCAAGGACAACAGGGTTTACTGACAAACCTATACAGTTGTAGCCAAAAAAGACTTAAGGCTAGTTTATGCACAAAAGACTTAAGGCTAGTTTAACAACCCAAAAACTCATAAGGGAGGGAAGTAAAGTTGATGAAGTATGGATTTCTAGAATAATAAAACAGTAGCCTCACCGGCATTAGCGGAAAACCCCCTTCTCAAATGGATCTGGGAACTGACATATACAACATGAAAAACTTGTAAGTTGAATGAGTAGATTAATACTATGTGACACAAAGAAAAAAACAACAAACCATGGAGACACTCTGCTCTGCAACATGCCAGCCACTGATATGTCTTCCTTTGGTCTCCTCAATAGTGATACCTAAATCAACTTTAGGAATTAGTGGTTTTAATTTCAACTACAGTAGAAAGTAGAAAGGAGAGAATCAATGCACACAATGTGCTCAATTGGATAGCACTATTCTGGAAGGAAGAGGACAAATAAAAATAAGATGAGAAATCGCCATAACAGGACTCACTGTTCCAGACATGTTGAACTCCCTGATGCTTGATCTAGACTGTTGGGATGATTTCAAAACACTCTGATTGTCACCGGTTACAAAATGGGACTGCCTTATCCTCGAAATATCTGTGGAACAACAGAATTGCTAGGAGATATATGTTTTAAAAAAAAGTCAACAGATTAGTTCTTTCAGAAACAAGCTTTCTACCCTTCAATTCCTTCAAGCGTAGAGGTAAGGACTGGGTACTTCCTACCCTCCCCAGACCACACTTGTGGGAATACACTAAATTTGTGGTTGTAGTTTAGCATACCACATTGCAGTTTAGCATACTTGTACCCTAGTGTCAAGTACCTATGGCTACTTCAAATTTAAATTGGCATAATTTTGTGTCCTACGTAACAGAATCAATATCAGTCCAGCTATTAATTTTTGTCATAACATGACGAGGCATTGTTCTGTTTAAGTCGGTGCTGTTTTACATTAGAACATCGTATGCAAAGTACAGATTACTTGCCCAGTTAATAACATATTGCAAGCAACATTTAGTATATGCTGATTATTTATTAGTAAATATCCACAATCCATATATTATCAAATGAAAAAACTCAGAAATCAATATGCAACAGGAAATTATCATAACTTGCACAAGTCTGACAATATGAAGCATTTCACAAGGGCCATAGCTTGTTACATAGTAGATCATAATAGAACATATTAAAAGGAAACAATTATAGACCGGAACTACTACATTATACATGAACTCATAATTTTCAAGTTTGCATACACTGCAGAATGGTCACACTAACATAAAACAAGCAAGATACTCAGTAGCAGAAGACATGGAACCCTGAATACTAAATGAACAATTCACATACATATAGAAATTACACATTTCAGATAAACTTACCATCTCTTTCACTAGTCAAGAGCCTTGTGTCACTTCTGTAGAAACGAACAGATACTCCACACTCATGCTTGATCAAAGTGGAAGTGCTCCTTATCTGCATGAAAAAGCAGACACCTAGTTAAATATTCTCATTTAGAGCACAAATCGCGGACACAATCAAACAAGATGAGAGACTTTGCTGGTTTCTGATTAATTTATCATCGATTTCCTTAATTTAGATGCTTTGAAACATCAACCAATAAATATAAGATAATGCCATACGATTCTTCTAAATCACAAACACTCATTCACGATAAACAAAACCAAAAAATAAATCTAAATTAAATTTCTATCCGCTATACCGTTTAAACATGGATCGAGATCTACAGAAACTTCTTAAAACGCATCTCACGCGAAATGATTGACTAGGGCGAAATTGAGAAATCGAAACATTCTAAGTCGTTGAAGAATTACCTTTCTGCAGTGACGGATGACCTGAGAAGCGCAAGACATGGTGGCGATTGGTTGGGGGCTTCTCCTCCGAGAACGAAGATGAATCGCCGGAAAGTTTAAAGGGATTGGTGGCCGGAGGATGATTTTGGAGTTTTTGGAGTTTGAACTATGGAATGACAGAGCAGAGAGTTTGACAGGGCAAGTTTTAAAAACACTGCAACTTTTGGGCCTCGTTTGGGAACGAATATTAGAATGTCTAAGTACGAGTATATGGATTATGGAGTATATTAAGAAAAAAAGTTAGAGGTATTTTAACTTTGTATCCTAAATTGCACACCATGCATAGATAATACTCAATAATTATTTATACTAGTTTTTTCCCCGTACTTCGCACGGACTCGTATACTATCACGCAAAATATATTATACGAATTAAACATCTTATAAAAATTGAAACTTAAAATGAATATATATAAGTTGTGCAAAATGAATAAAAATGTATAGTATTTTCTTATAGAGAGTAGGATAAAATAGTGGAATAAAATATTAGAGAGCTCATTTATATATGAGTTCTTTTTATCTTTTATAATTAAGTTTTAAGCCATTTCATAATATATATGATTATTCGGTGGGGTTCTAGTGCCACTAGAGTACGGTGCCCCAAAATGCCAGTGGCACCGTACTCCAGTGGCACTAGAACCCCACCGTTGATTATTTAATAATATTTTTATATGATGATGATGATATATATTACATATGTGGTTATTATTGTTGTTGTTGTTATTATAACCATCATAATGGTGGTGCTAAGTGTGGAAAGAGTTATGACATCCAAATTGGAGGAGAGGGGAAGATCAAGAGTTTTTCTTTTCTGTTGCTCATCCTTACACGTTCAAATTCTACAATTTCGGATCACAAATATTTTTGAGAAATATAAAACTTACAGTCTTACACTATTAAATTCAACATTTTTGTCCATTATTTTGACCTACTTTATTAGTTAAGAGTCTAAATTTATTTTACTTGGCCAATATAACTAATATTCATCAAGTAATAGACATAACCGTACGTTGTCAAACTAAGCTCTGTTTTCTTCCATTTCATTTTATTTTTAAAAATTATAAATATTTAATTTATAACACTTTTAAATAATGTAAATGCTTTGTATTAAAAACATGTGTTATAATGATGAAAATATAATAAAAAATAATGATTATTTTAGTTAGAAATCAGTAAGATTTTATTTAAAAAATAAAATGAAAATAATGATTATATAGTATCAAGTTTAATATTCATGTAAAATACAAAAATATAGCAAGTGAAAGGTTTATAAACATATAGATTACTTATTTTATGTGTGTGGGTAGCATTGCATATGACACATGGAATAAAGGTGTCATTTTACTAATTTTTTATAAAAACAATTAACACTTTATTTTATAAAATAATTATATAAAAACATAAATAGTTTTACAAAATTATAAAATCTACATAAGATCTGTATGTTGATGACATACTGCTCATAGGAAACGATATTCCTACTTTAACCACCGTCAAAACGTGGTTGAGTAAGAGTTTCTCTATGAAGGACTTGGGAGATGCCAGTTATGCACTTGGCATAAGGATCTATAGGGATAGATCACGGAAGCTGTTAGGTCTCAGTCAAAGTACATACATAGACAAGGTCCTTGCTAGATTCAGCATGTCTGAGTCGAAACGAGGAAGTTTGCCTATGGCCCAAGGCACGAGTCTTTCCAAGACTCAGGGTGCTTCCACTCCGGAGGAAGTAGAACGCATGAGAAATGTTCCTTATGCGTCGGCCATTGGATCCATCATGTATGCGATGGTATGTACGAGACCTGATGTCGCCTTTGCTCTGAGTGTCACGAGTAGATACCAGTCCAACCCTGGCGAAAGCCATTGGACGGCTGTGAAGAACATCCTTAAATACTTCCGTAGGACTAAGGATGCCTTCCTGGTATATGGCGGAAAAGAAGAGCTCAGTATTGTTGGATATACTGATGCCAGCTTCCAAACTGATAGAGATGACTTCAAGTCGCAGGCAGGGTATGTGTTTTGTTTGAATGGCGGAGCTGTTACCTGGAAGAGTTACAAGCAAGATACTACCGCTGATTCCACTACAGAAGCAGAGTACATGGCTGCAGCCGAGGCAGCCAAGGAAGGTGTGTGGCTCAAGAATTTTATTACTGAGCTTGGAGTGGTTCCTAGCATCAAGAACCCTATACCGTTGTTTTGCGACAACAATGGGGCAATTGCACAAGCGAAAGAACCTCGGTCTCACCAGAAGACCAAACACATCGTTAGACGTTATCACATCATACGAGAAATCGTTGCACGTGGGGACGTTGAGATTTGCAAGATAGGTACAGACGACAATATCGCGGA